ACTTCACTCAAGCACTCCCTCTAGAAAATGGACGTCATTTCTAAATTTCAACTGTGCCACAGTGTGAACATCCCTTTTGCTATTTTCCTTATTTTTTTTTTTTTAAGCTAGTGACAACTTGTCTTGTCATAGGAGCCACTGGAGAACTTATCAAAAATAGAAAGTCTTGAAATCTTGCGTATGCTAACTCAGTGTGTCTGAAATGTGTGCAAGAACATGCATTTCAGAAAGGTCTCCTGCTCCCCTCTCCTGCCCCCAGCAGCATACCTGCAGCCCCAGATGTGCTGTGATCAGGCAATTTTGGCTAACACTGCCTCAGATTAAATCCCTGGAAGACTTGTTGGGCCAATGGTTATTTTTGTAAAAGGGAAAGAAACATTCTTTTCTTTTTTTTTTTTTTTTTTTTTTTTTTTTTCAAGAGTGAAAATCTGAGTGTAATTTTCTTTGAGTTTGTGACCAGTATATATATGTTTTCCAAAAGCACAGGAACAATGAATATCAATGAAATCAGCTTGCTCATGGGCTCAGCCTATCACATCAGGGTGGTGATCTACATAACAAGCAATGACCTTTATAGAAGAAAGAAGGAAGTTTAGAAAGACAATAAGGGATTAAAGTTTGTAGTTCTAGAAAGACGGGATAAGATTTTTAGCATTCTTGTAGTGGTTCCTGATGGTCGTTATCTTTTCATAAGCTTCTGTCTTTTCAGGGAACTTCCACTGTACTTCCTCTGCTTCAGGGTGTTTTGCTGTTCTCCCCCTGCGTGCTGGTTGCCCAGCCCGGACCTAGGGACCGTGGCGAAAGCCATTCTAAAGGTCACTGCAGGGGGAGGTGCAGCAGGTATGTCTTCAGAGGTTTTTGCTGTTCTCCCCCTGCGTGCTGGTTGCCCAGCCGGACCTAGGGACGGTTAGCCCTAAAGGTCACTGCAGGGGGAGGTGCAGCAGGTCCCCCTTTGTTTTTAGAACGAAGCTGGAAGGCGTACATATGTCGTTGAAGATGATGAATGGACCTGTGAAGTAAGCGGACACAGAGGGGAAGGAGTAAACAAAGAGCAGGACGAGTAGGGAAAGAACAATAAAGGAGAGAACAAGATGATACCAGTGAGTAGGAGTCAAAGATTGGAGAGTGGAAGCTAGAGAATGAGCAAAGGAAGAGAGTGAAGTGTGCAGATGAGACTTACTGATAGCAGAAATTTCAGCTTGGAGAGACGAAAGGTCATGAGAAAGGTCATTGTCTTGCCAGATGCCCAATAGGTGATGTTTGGTAAGATTCCAATGTAAGGAAGAGTTATAATGTAAAGGCGTAACACAAATGAAACGAAACTGAACATGGCAACGAGTAGACAGTTGTTGTTTGAGAAGTTGAACCTCATTGCCAATAGCAATAACAATTTCTTCCAGAGCATTTAACTTTTTTTTCTAACTTATAATCAATGTCCCGCTGTATTGCGACATTCTTTTCTTAAGGAAAGGGAGTTTAGCATTTTCTTGCTCCTTTTGGAATTCCCTGAAATGATTAATGAGACAATACAGTTTTTGGACTAACAAAGACCTGGGTTTGAATTCTGAATGGGATAATCTTTCTCCTCTTCTTATCTTTATTCTCATAAATCACTTCTTTTTACAAATATGGAAAGGCTATTGTTTAACTTAATCCTTAACTACCTGGACTGTATAGTATATGATACTATGTTCTCTAATGGTTTACTGTTCCAAGATACTAACATATTTTAAGAAAAAACCTATAAGTCAGACAAAGGGCATGGAATAAAGGAGAGACAAGAATAATATTCTTCAACTTGGGGGAAAGCTATTTATAAGTGTGAAATCTATATTTTATCTAATCTGTCCTAAAATTGTCCTGCTCTCTTAAGTCAAAAATAAATAGCAAAGCATATTCAGAGTTCCATTTTATTTATAACTTATTTTATAAATAGGTAATACATTTAAGTAGCTCAAAATATTTTTAAAATAGCAAATATACAGTAAAAAAAATCTCCTTGAGGAGGCCAGACTGATCTATAGATTAGAATTGAAGACATCTGTAATAACTCATTTAAAGCTTGATAGAGTTGCAGATGATTACACACAGAAATAATCATAGATGTGTCCATATACTCATATATCTCTTTGCTCTGTCATCTGAAAGGTCTAAAATAGGTGTCAGTAGCAAAAAGTACACCCAAGTCTTGGTTTCTAATGCCATTCTTGTTAAAGAAACCAGAGCTCCCTGAAGAAGTGGTTGATTCTGGGACTAGGGAATAGAATATACATGTGCCCTTCATGTAGTACCAGAGAGTAAGAAAGTGCTAAGACCTATAAACAAATGAACAAAACAAAACAAAGCCCTGATGAGGCTATGTCAAAGGGACATAGGAGTTAAATGAAGAGCACCCAAAGGTCAAAGCTGGGCAGTATGAGAAAGAAAATAAATGAAGTATTGTTGAATTATAACCTAAGTATAAAATAAATATCCACAAATCTATACTGCTATAAATAAATTGTTGAATAAGTTAATAAGTCAGGGAAAAGAAACAATTCATTCTAAATAATGAAGGTGGCCATTCCCTTATAAGATGGGGAATACAACTGCCCATTCCCAATTCTGAGCTGCACGCAGAGACTTCCAAAGAGCATGGTATGGCAAGTACTGTCTCAGGCAGGTGATCAAGGTCAACATTAATAGTCATAAATCATGTTGGCAGCATGTGTAGTCATATAATGTGGTACAAAACTTGCTTTGCCTCCATGATTTCCCTCCCTAAGACCTATCACCTCAGTCTAATCATGAGAAAAAATCAGATGAATTCTAACTAAGAGAGGTATATCCTACAATATACCTGACCAGTACTCCTTAGTCTGTCAAAGATACCTAAAACAAGGAAAAGTCAAGAGCTGCTCAAAAAGATATAACACGAAATATGTGATTTCTTGGATGAGCTCTCGCAACAGAAAAAATGGTCATTTAGTAAAAACTAAGGAAATCTGAAAAAAGTATGGACTTCAGTTAATAAGAATATGTCAGTATATGATCAAACATAAAACATTAATGCTAATAATAGGGTAAATGTATGTGTGTGGGGTGATATAGTTACTATCTTATTTTTTCTATAAATCTCAAATTACCCTAAAAAATAAAAGCTACTTTTAAAAAGCCTCCTACCCCCACACTTATGTCTCATTCACCTAACTTCTATCGCCCACAAATAAATACTCATTAGTTTCTAAGATCCAACAATTTTGAAAAATGTATATATAAGTAAATATTAATATATATATAATTCACTTCCTTTTTTTCACAAAGTTACCACAGCAAACATGCAATATTACATGTCTTCTTGCTTTACTTAACAATATAGTTTTTTATGGCTCTATGAATTTGGCTGAGTTGTACAATTTATTTTACCCGTTATCTACTATGATCTGTTATGTTGTTTGCAATCTTTTGCTATTACCATGCTTCAGTGAATAAGTTTATACATTGTTAATTTCATTCATAAGGAAGCATATCCATATGTCAATTTTTAGAAGCAAATCTTCAGTGTCAAAAGAGGCATCTACACTTGTATTTCGACAAATATTGACAAATTACCCTCTATCATAGATGTATTAATTTACACTCACCCTAGAAACACACAAGAGTGACTCATGAGCCATATTTGCTATCACTCATGTGGGCTGTTTTTAACAGGTTATCTGAAAATCAGTATCTCAGTAATTTTATTTTTCACAGATCTTGTAAATATTCACAGTATTTAGTTTTGACAGGTTTTTTGAGAGAAGAAAAGCCAAACTTGAACTACAAAACATTCACAGTTTTTATGAAATTAAAGAATTTACAACTATTTAAATTCTCAGCATTAACAGTTCCTAATGTAACAAATTCTACAAACTTATTTTTGATTTTATTTCCTCCTGCATGGCCAGCTAGAAACTGGACAACCACTAGTCTACATCTCTAATCCTTTTAGAGACTAAAAAGTCTCCAAGGATCTGTAACCCTGGGGCCATACCATAGCACCTATTCCAAGTCAACAGGAGAACCCAGGAGATGAGAGAGACCTTCAGCTTTCTAAATGACTACCAGGTGCCAATTATATATTGTCTGGAAGCCCTGTGTTCATTGCTAACAGCTTAATTTTGCAAAGATACTGCTCATATCTTTCTCCTAATTTCCAATGTTCAGTGACTCCATCCTGCCTTCCAGAAGAAGTATAAGCCCCTGTAGCCTTACTACCAAAACATTCATTCCTTTGAGGTAGAGAGAAATTAAACAACCAAGCCCAAGGTTCTCAAAACACAATTTTAAATCTTTCCATTTGAGAAAATGAGTGCCTCTCTAAAATTTTGAATTCATCTTATGTAACAGCATATGCAATATTTTCTCTCAGGATTATAAAGCACCAATCCACTGGTGATAATGATAAACTAAAGTGTACCACACTTTGTTTCCCTAAAGTCTTACTTTGTACTTGAACCATCTTTACTCTATTCCCCTAAGGCTTACCACTCTCAATGGCAGAAAAGGAAAAGAGAATAGCACACAATGGTCACAGACATAGTTATTATTAGTAGTAACAAAGTTACTAATAGACATATCTGCAACACAAAATAATTAGAGCAAGATTTTGTTGTGTTTATAAGAGACATAAAAATGTTGACATTTCCTTAATTTGGCTAGTTGCTACCAACAGCAAAAAAAAAAAAATCTCTTTTGGGGCCTCTCTGGTGGCGCAAGAAGTTAAGATGCAACCTATGAAGCTCTCTGCAGCCACTGCAGCACAAGTTCCATTCCTTGCCAGGAAGCTACCCACGCGGTACAGCAGACCTTTCCCGACTCACCCACCGTTCCCCTCAGCAGTGTATTTCAGTCAGTCTGCCTATTCTGTTCCCCACTCTGTCTCTGGTGTATCCTGTCACCCCCCCCATGCTTCTGGCCTGAACCCCAGTTCTTGTAATATATAAATAAATAAATCTTTTTTTTTAAAAATTCTCTTTTACCTAGTGCTTCCTTTTGCAAGTTGTGGCACCTTGCTTGCAGGTTGACTTCCTGCTGCTTGGATGCCTGGATCTCCTGGGACCTCAGGATGGCTGCATCTGATAGCAGCTTCAGACTTTTCATCTCCTCTTCCAAGCATGCCTTGTTTCTCTGGGACACTGTCAAACTTTTATTTAGTATCTCTACTTCTGTAAAGAAAAGTCACAGTTTATAAATAGAAAGCATTGAATTGTAAAACACTTCTCAAAAATTATTATTTTCTCTTAGAAAAGTAATAGTTGAAAGCCAAAATGATTTTTCTGAGAATTTGATGATCTCTAACCAAAAGGATAAATTTAAATTCAGTAGTTATCCTGAAAACAGAAATAAGAAAAAGCATTGTGCTGCTAAATGATGCATGAAACATTTTAGTAGGGTTTTTTTTTAAGCCTTTAAATTGTATTAAATGGAAATTTGGCCTACTTTTTAAATAGTCACATAAATGAGTAATATAATATCTGTGCAATGTTCTGGGTTTTATTGAAATTCAATTGTTTTCTTAGCAACATGATTCATAAAAAATTAATATAATGTGCTAACATGAGCAGGTTGGGTGCCATTTCCATAACAGTAACTAAGATATATTCTATACAAATTGCAAAGTAAGGTGGTAGGAATGGAGAAGATTTAAAAAAAAAAAAAGGGTTGCAGTGTCCAACACTAATAAATGTGTAGGCAAAAAGTATCATTTAATGTATTTTAATGATTCTAAAAATACTTTTTCCCATTGAAATGAGACCAGAATTCATCATAGCAAGCACTTGTTATCCTATCTACTTAGATTCTTTTTGATATAAATACGCGTTCACAGATCTATGTAGATTGAAATATAATAATTTTCTACAAATATGAAGGGCCTCCTTGGTGGTGCAGGGTTTAAAGTCTCAATGCTATCATGCTTTCACCAGCCACTGTGGCATGAGTTCGATGCCCAGCCTGGGAGCTGACCCACATGGCATAGGAGACCTCTCCTGTCTCACCCCCTGCCCTCACCAGCAGTGTACTTCAGTAGCTCTGCCTGTTCTGCTCCCTACTATGTCTCTGGTGAATCCTCTCACCCCCCACAACTCCTCTGGCCTACACCCCAGTTCTTGTATGCATAAACAAATAAAAATAAATCTTAAAAAAAAAAGAAGAAATGTATGGAGCATAGATTTTCATCAGAATTAGAATTATCAAGCTTTTCATCATTCTCTTCACCACTGCTGCCTTCAAACCATGTTTAGAACACACACACACACTCACAGTAGTAAGTCACTATAAAAAGTACATAACCACAGTTAATGGAACTGATGAGGCTGCAATCCATGTCAAAGTCTGCACAGCCTGATTTCCAGAGCACTCACTTAACCCCCTTTCCTTGGCTCCTGCACCCTGGGCCATGTGATGGGTTCACATGTGACTGGGTATCAAAGAAGATGGTGCTAATTTACTGGCTTGGAGCCAATGCAGCCAACTAGCTGTCATGGGCCAGTGAAGACCAGGAGTGGAGATGCAGAGGGCAGACAAGCAGCCAGGGCCAGATGGGCAGCCTGGGTCTCAAGAGCAGTAACAGAGCAAAGAGCATGTCCCTCAGGGTAGCACCAGGAATGCGGTCCAAGGAGAGAAAAGCAAAACATCTTTTTTGGAAAGAAGTATGTCTGAAAGGGGAAAAAGGAGCATTTAAGACAGACCTAGTGCATGAGTGTAAGGGTCTGGTACCTTCTTCACTTTTAATTCCTGCTCAAAATGGAAAACTTGGAGAAATAAATTGGGAGGGATCAAACAAGTGGGGGGATTACTATAGTCCAATGATTACTTTATGGGAATCTTTTTTTGAAGGATAACTGTGGGCTTCTAAAAACTTACAGATATGCAGTCATTTGTGTGAGGACAACTAACACATTAGTACATAAAGTTTAAAAAAGAATATATCAATAGTTAAGGAAAATAAGGAGGCTGCAGGTAGTTTTTTGGTTTTGTTTTTGTTTTTTTCAGATCTAAAAAGTCTTCCTATGTATCTCTGAAGCCATGAAGTAGCTGAATAAACTGTACTGGACCCTGACCATGTGTGTCTGAGCTCAAGTCAGCATGACACTGTTCACGGCGCACACAGGCGGACCACCTAGTCATCATTCCAGAAAGACACTGCCTGCGTTAGCAGGCTGACTCTCAGCGCACCCTACTATCTGTCTCTAAATAACTACTCGTGTCAACATGACTTTGCATCTGACATTAAAAGAATAAGAATCTGCAATACAAGTTCGTTTGTGAAATATATTCTAATACATGGAAAAGTACAGCAAGACTTTAAAAAAATGAAAAGGAGCTACAATATTTCTAACATGGAAGTGGCAGGGGGTGAATGAATTCATCCTCTGCAAATTACACATCCCCATAACCATGACAACTCTGGTGCCAAAGTGTCAACCCTGCCTTTATCATTAATACAACTTCATACTTGTCAGACAGGGGTCCTAATTTGGGGTTCAGAAATTAGGATCACTTCCAGGTCACCCTATTCCAGTCACTGTACTGACAATGTGCCTTCCCTATTGTAGCACCGCCCCATGAAGGTACTTCTAACCTGAGCATTAGGCTTACGATGGCTCAAAAGTTACCTCTGCCTCAAGATCTTTTCTGACCCCAGCTGGAAGTGACCTTGATCTTCCTGAAACTCACACCAGTTTATACCATTTCTATTGCTTGGATCATGTGTACACATGTGATCGATTACAGGACTCAGTCATTTTACACCAGAGGTAATATTTATTTTTTATTTCCCCTTAAATTCTACCACAATGTCCTAAAGATAAAAAGGAATTCAATAGGGGCCTCCCTGGTAGCGCAAGGGGTTAAGCACCGCACTATGAAGCAATCCGCAGCCTCTGCAGTATGAGTTCAATCCCCCGGCCAGCCAGAGAGCACCCCACATGGCGCAGCAGACCTCTCCTGACTCGCCCGCAGCTCCCCTCAGCAGCGTATTTTACTCAATCTGCCTGTTCTATTCCCACTCTCCCTGGTGAATCCTCTCACCTCCTGCATCTCTGGCCTGTACCCCAGCTCCTGTATGCATAAATAAATAAATCTTTTAAAAAAAGGAATTCAATAAATACATATTAATTGAGTAAAGATATTATTGAGCAAAACTTCTAAAGAGTTCTAATTGCCATCAATTGAAGATGCTGATTGTGTGTTTTTCTTACTTCATCTTCCACTCCAGAGGCAAGCAGTTTCAGGCCCCTGTTATTTAATGCCAGACTAGGTACGGTCATAAAAACAGACATCAAAAAAATTTTTAATAGGGTAAGAAAATGGGCTTATTCTATCCCAAATTTCATCAACTTTATGAAAAATGTTAACTAAGCCTATTTCAGGACATGAAATTTAGGACTATATCAAATGAACATAAGAATTTATAACTCAAAGAATAAAAGGGTCTCATATTTACATACATGTATCATTTATGGTGCATTTTAATACTTCTAAGGACTCTAGGGATCTGTACAGTTTCTTCAATGTTTATCTCTACATAATCTCTATTGGTTCTAAATAGTTCACTGATTCTTTTTTCTATAATCACTATGCTATGAAAATTCATCCAATAAAGTTTCATTTCAGTTTATATATTTTCTAATTCTTCAATTTCCAATTTTTCAGTTTCTTTCTAATATTTCTATCTTTTCATTAACTACTAGTTTTTTTTTTTAGTTATATCATTGAACATAGTTAACAACTGATGTGATGTAATCAGCTAATAACATCATTTAGATCAACTCAGGGTTAAGTCTCTATTGACTGTCTATTCTTATGAGTATGGGTCATATTTTCTGCTTCTTCCCAGATCAAGTAATTTTGGATTGTATCATGAATAATATGGATGTTACACAGACTCTAGTTTCTGTTATGTTTCTCTAAAGAGTATTGGTATTTTTTGGGTATTGTTTGGCTTTAATAAGTAGTTAACTTGTTGAACCCAAGCTGTAAAATTTATCTTCTCTGAGGTAGATAACAGTTAAAATATCAATTACTTTAGCCATAGATGGGCTGCTTAGAGTCTTCCCCGCACACATGTATTTCAGGAATAAGAGATCTGGATAGAGTTTATATGCAGATTTGTTTTCCCTCTCTGACTATCTCTTTTCCGGGTTATCCTCTCACTTTTCAGAAACTTGATCTCTATGCTCCAGTCTTCAGGCCCCCCAAATTATAGATTTCTATCAGAGTTTGAAAAGTCTCTGTCTGGAATAGGCTGTATGCTGCCCTCAATAGTCTTAAAAAACAAAGAAACAAACTAACCCAGGGAAATTCACCCTTTGCGGTCCCTTCTTATAGTTAAAAACAATTTTAATTAACTTCTATAAATATCAGTTGTAGGTTAAGAGCAAAATTTAGCAGAAAGTATAGAAAAATACCATATTCCTCCTGCTCCCACATATGCAGAGTCCCCCCACTATCAACATCCTTCCTGAGAGTGGTTGTACATTTGTTACAATCAATGAACCTACACTGACACATTATAATGACAGACAAATCACCCTCAAATCCAGTTTACAATAGGGGGTCACTCTTGGAGTTGTACATTCTATGGGTTTGGAGAAACATATAATGATTTGTATCCACCATTATAGTAGCATGCAATAGTTTCACTGCCCTAAATATCCTTCAAGCTCTGTCTCTTCATCCTTCCCTCCCACCCTGGCAACCACTGACCTCTTCATTATTTGCACAGTTTTGCCTATTCCAGAATGCCATGTAGTTGGTATCATATGTAATATGTAGCCTTTTTACATCGACTTTTTTTGCCTAGTATTATGCCTTTTCATTTTTATTTTTTAAATTTTTATGTAGAAGAACTGGAGTGTGGGCCTCCCCAGTGGTAGAGCAGGTTGAGCGCAGCACTGTGAAGCTGTCCACAGCCTCCGCGGTGCCAGTTCGATTCCCACCCGGGGAGATTCCCACATGGTGCGGCAGACCTCTCCTGTCTCACCCGCTGCTCCCCTCAGCAGTGAATTTTGGTTCTTCTGCCTGTTCTGCTCCCTGCTCTGTCTCTGGTGGATTCTCTCACCCTCCCGCGCCTCTGGCCTGTACCCCAGTGCTTGTATAAATAAATCTTTAAAAAAAAAAGAACTGGGGTGTAGGTCAGACTTGTGGGGGTGGGGTTGAGGGAGAAGACTCACCAGAGTGGACAGAGTGGGGAGCAGACAGGCAGATTTAGTGAAATACTAAGGGGAGCAACAGATGAGACAGGAGAGGTCTGCTACATCCTGTAGGTTAGCTCCCTGGCCAGGGATTGAACTCAGGCCATAGAGGTGATAACGCTGCGACTTAGCCTCTAGGCCACCAAAGAGGTCCTATTATGCCTTTTTCAATTTTTGACATTTCTTTCTTGAATTTCTTCACTCTCCAGTGGTTTTTTTTTTTTTAATTGAACTTTTTTTTTATAGAGGCATGTTTTATTTATTTATTTGTTTGTTTGTTTGTTTGTTTATACATGCACTGGGTACAGTCAGAAGTGCGGGAGGGTGAGAGAATTTACCAGAGCCAGAGCGGGGAGCAGAGCAGGCAGAAGGACCGAAGTACACTGCTGAGGGGAGCAGTGGGCGGCAGGAGAGGTCTGCGTGCCATGTGGGACCTTCCTCCAGTGGCCGGGGAGCAGCCGGGGATCGAACCGGCGCCTCAGAGGCCGCGGGCAGCTTCACAACCCAGCGCTCAACCGCTGCGCCACCGGGGAGGCCCTCCAGTGTTTTTGCATGTTTGTTTTATCTAGAATTTATAGTTGCTATATGTGGCAATGCTGATCTAACATGTGACCTGCTCATCCATTAAAAGAAGAAAAAGTTTTAAAATACAACTTGGCACGTTTTACAGGAATAACCATGTTTTTGGCCATAGTTCAAAATAAATGTATAATAGTTTATCTTAGATTGGCCTATAATTATTGAATTTTATGGTTCAAATAGATCATAATGGTTATCAAATAAGTCATAATTGTCATCTAGTCTGCCAACAAATAACAAGTTTAAAAGTTAATGATAAGTCCATCACCTAAAATAAAATTTCATTACTTACAATGTACCATTTGCCCCCCCCCAAAAAAAAAAGATGATTACTTTCTAAATATATGCTACAAACCTGTTAAGGCTGTTTCACTTATGGATTTAATTTGTAGAAAAACTTCTCCTTTCAGTGAAGTCCAGTTTTGAAAATTATCATATAGTTCATTTTTAATGCTGGTTAGCTCCCTTTTAGTAAAAGTAAGTAATGAAAGAGTCTTATTCCAGAAATATTTGTACTCCATCAATCTTTGACTGTAACGTAGTAAATGAAAAGTTAGAATTTTTAAATAGCAAGCATAATAACAAATATTCTTTAGAGAACATACAACTACTGTCTAAATGGAGAACTTCTGAAAGTGAGAGAAGTGGTATTCATATTTCACTGAGGAGACTGATATAACTGGGAATATTCCAGGAAGACTAAGGTATTCGTTAGCCCTATTCACCCCCTTTGTTTTTAATATTTTAGCTACAGGAGATGATAGCTAATTATATTCATACACTTGCCCTATTAATCTTTTAAAATTAACAACAATCACTTAATAAAAGGAAATTGGGTCAAAAGTGACTTAGCAACAGAGCCTCAATGTGAGTTTTAGACTTTAGGACAGCATTCTCCTTGTACATCAGGCTCTACAGCAGTGTGAACCCTGGGGTAATAATAAAGCCTTTGGAAGTGTTGGATACAGTGCTTCTCCTTCATCAAATGCCACAGCTCAAAGTAATCACCTGGTTTTTTTTTCCAACTCATCTGTCATTACATCAGAAGTCCTTGAGAAAATTTACCTAATCATCAGGTAAGATGGAGACATATGTGTGAGTGTTACCAACAAGAGGATGATGACAGAGAGAGTAACTACCTCTCTGTCAGAGAGAGTAACTACCTGGTTAGTGTTTATCCCTCTAAATAGACTAGGGTCTATGACACAGAGACAGTCTGTGTCTCATTCATCACACCCTCCCTGGCACCTAGCACAGTGCCTATCACACAGTACAAACTCAACAGACACTGATGAATGAGTGTATGGTAATAAAGCAGATCACTCAGTAGGAGGAAGGAAGATGTGAGAATTAGGATAAAAAACTAACTCTTCAGGGACTAAAATGGAAAAAACATCCTTCAAAGGAGATGAGGGAAGAGTAATCCATGAGTTAGAAGAAAAACCAAAAGGATAATATCAGAAAATCCAACATAAGTGAAATTAAAGAGAAAAGCAGTGGTCCGTTGTTAAATTCTCAGCTAGAGGCTGAACAGAATCCACTGTATTTCATGTTAAGGAGGCCTCTGGTGATCTCAGAGGGAGACATTAGGTAGTAAAGGATCTTGCAGAATTGAAAAAAATTGTCGGTTCTGGTGCCAGCTCTCAAGAACCCTCAACACAGTGGCAGGAGAAAAAGGGAAAATGTGAAGTGGCAGGATTTGCTTGGGTAGTGACAACAGTGTGTGAACACACATGAGCAGACAGAATGTTAGCATGCACACAGAGGCTAAAAACAAACAAGAGGTTTCCATAGGTATCTATGCAAAAAAATGAAATGAAACCTATCCACAGAAGGACTCATATGTGAATATTTATAGCAGCATTGTTATCAAGCATCAATAAGTGGAAACAATCCAACTGTCTATCAAATGATAGATAAGTAAAATTAGTATATCTGTACAATGGAATATTATTCAGCAACAAAAAGAACAAAGTACTGATCCATGATACAATATGGATAAACTTCAAACATATAAGTGAAAGCTAATGTAAAAGACCACATATTGCATATTCTAAAGTGTTCAGAAGAATGAAAATCTAGTGGTGAGAACAGAGATTGATGGCATGAGGATCTTTTGGGGATGCCTCAAGTGTTATAATATGGGATGTGATTTTAAAAAATAGTTGCAGGGCCTTCCTGGTGGTGCAAGGGGTTAAACACCGCACTATGAAGCAATTCACAGCCCCTGCAGCATGAGTTTGATGCCCGGCCAGCCAGGGAGCAATCCACATGGCACAGCAGACCTCTCCTGTCTCGCCCACTGCTCCCTTCAGCAATGTACTTCGGTCAATCTGCCTGTTCTGTTCCCTACTCTGTCTCTGGTGAATTGTCTCACCCCCACACCTCTGGCCTGTACCCCAGCTCTTGTATGCATAAATAAATAAATCTTAAAAAAAAAAAATAGTTGCGCATGGGCCTCCCTGGTGGTGCAGGCGGTTGAGCGCCGCGCTGTGAAGCTGTCCACAGCCTCTGCAGCGCAGGTTCAATCCTGGCCTGCCAGCAAGAATCATGGTGAGGCAGACCTCTCCTGCTGCGCCCACTGCTCCCCTCAGCAGTGTATTTTGTCAGTCTGTTCTGTTCCCCGCTCTGTCTCTGGTGAATCCCCTCACCTTCTAGGGCATCTGGCCTGTACCCCTGTTCTTGTATAAATAATCTTTTAAAAAAAAATCGTTGCACAGGAACTCCCTGGTGGCCTAGGATTTAAGTCTAAGCACTATCACCACTACAACCTGAGTTTGATACCCCACCAGGGAGCTAACCCACATATGGTGCAGCAGACCTCCCCTGTCTCACCCACTGCTCCCCTCAGCAGTGTATTTCAATGGATTTGCCTGTTTTGCTCTCCATTTTCTCTGGTGAATCCTCTTACACCACGCCCCCACACCTCTGGCTTGTACCCCAGTTCTTCTATGCATAAATAAATAAATCTTTAGAAAAAATCATTTTTTTCCACATTTTTGTCCATAAGTGGGTGCATTTTATAATGTATAATTTTATCTCAATAAAGTTGTGTAAAAAAAAAAGATGTAAGGTAATAAAATATGTGGTCAAGTCTAGTAAACAAAGGAAAGCCAGAAAATAATTGAAAAAAAATCAGAAAAAATGATGAAAGTCTTAAGAAGTCTGAGGAGTTGAGAGGTAGGAAGAGATATTGAGGAAGCTGGCTATGAAAATGTCAAAGATAACTACATCTGATTAGTTCTTGCTTCTTTATCACTTTGAGAAGATTATAAGCACCTTTTTCTTAACCATATAGCAATCACTAGTAATTATTTCTATTTATCTGTAACAAGCTATTAGCTATTCTGTTCTGCTACTTTTCATGCCTCTCTCTTATCAGAGTCTGAACTACACCACACAGAAAACTGGTTAAGAGGAAAATGAGTAAGCTACTGTGCATTCATTCAAAATGTCAACATAAAACGTGCAGTTCACTCACCCTTCACTAAAGCCCTATTACTATTTCTCCCTTAGCCCCTCCTTCTTTCCCTGCCCCTCACCCCTAAAAAATTATTTTTGTTGTATTTTGACAATCTGAGAAAAAAATGTGAAATTCTTTCCACTTTTCTCAACTCCACTGAATGTAGAAACTAAAATGTGTTTTATATTTGTATAGTACTATATGTACTTTTCAATCTTTATGAATATCAATTCCTTAAAGATAACCTTACCTGAAGACTTGTGATTGTCTATGTTGAATTTTTAACTCATGCTGCAGATGATTCAACTCTTTCTGAACTCTCTGAAATTCATTTTGCTGACTTTTTAACTGCATGCTGGTATCTTGAATTCTAAAAATATAAACAAACAACATCCATTACAAGTTTAAATGTTCCACCATAAAGTGAAATTTAAATACACTTTAAAAAATAATAAATGGGTTGCGAAGCTGCCCGCAGCCTCTGCAGCGCCGGTTCCATCCCTGGCCACCAGGTAAGGGTCCCACATGGCGCGCAGACCTCTCCTGCTACTCACTGCTCCCCTCAGCAGTGTACTTTGTCTGCCTGTTCTGCTCCCTGCTCTGGCTCTGGTGAATTCTCTCACCCTCCCGCGCTTCTGACTGTACCCAGTGCTTGCATAAATAAATCTTTAAAAAATAATAAAAGAAGAAAATTATGCATCTTTTTATATGCTAAATGAATGTTTGGGAAAAGTATGGCGAGACATACACCAAGCAGCCATCATTGCTATGCAGCCATTATCCCTGTGCAGGAATGTGGAACTGTCAGGTAGAGGAAATGCAAACAGTATTGAAAGGAGGCATAATTTTTACTCTATACCTTTTGTACTGTTTGAATTTCTAGAATCAACATGTATTATTGTTTGAAAAGCTTATTTAAATGGAAGTAAACAAATGTCAACTTAATTTTATTAAAGTCATACATGCCCAGGGCCTCCCTGGTGGCAAAAGGGGTTAAGATGCAATCTATGAAGCTATCCACAGCCACTGCAGCAAGAGTTCAATTCCCGGCCAGCCAGGGAGATACCCACATGTCGCAGCAGACCTCTCCTGACTTGCCCGCTGCTCCCCTCAGCAGTGTATTTCAGTCAATCTGCCTGTTCTGCTCCCCACTCTGTCTCTGGTGAATCCTCTCACCCCCTCACCCACACTTCTGGCCTGTACCCCAGTTCTTGTATGTATAAAAGAATAAATCTTTAAAAAAAATTTTTTTTCTAAAAAAAAGTAAGACATGCCCATAATCTGTCAAATGTTACTAAACGTTCTAAGAAAAAATAGTAATCATTTGCCTTTACTCTGATTTTCACTCTTAAAAAGAACTACTTTCATATTTTTTCCTCATTCTTTCATCATTTACCTCTGCATTGCTAAATAAAATGTATATGCTATCATTTCTTATTTTATTTTAGATACTCTCATTTGAATTATAAGTCAGTTAAGATCTGTTTCTGCTACTTATAACTCAGGGTCCTGATAAAATTCAATCTCTTTATCTAATATTTACATTATGCTTCACTAGTAAGCTACTTATTGTGCCATGATCACATTTTATTTCTCCTATAATTTTTATTGTCACTGTATTAAAGACCATCTCATTTTCTTCTGAGTTTTCTTTATACCTATCATTGATACTTCTGAATCTGACAGAGGTATGATTTTCCTCTCTCAAAATCTTCAAACACTGCAAATAATCCTTCTACATTGTTTTTCAGGAGAGTTTCCAGAGCTCACCCTTCCCATTTCCAATCTGGTTATGCTCTAGTTTACTATACTTCTGTCACCAGTGACTTCCTTAAAATGTCAGGAATGTCTGTCCTCAGTTGTCTTTCATCTCCTATGTCTTATTTCTAAAGCCTTCTTCTTTCTTGGTTTATTCCTTTTGGTGGAATAAATATACCAGGAGCTTTTTGTGCATGGGACATAAATCTGACACCTTGAATGTATGAAATGTCTATTTTAATCTCAGACTGGACAGTTTGACTGAATAAAGAATCATATATGAGAAAAATATTCATTGGAAAATAAGAACACTGTTCCACTGTTTCCCTCGTGTTCAGCGCCACTTCTGGAAAGTCCAAGGACGTTCCAATTCCTACTTCTCTGTGTGACACAAGGTATGTGCTCCCCCTCCATGCCCTGCCTCAGAAGTTTTAAACTTTTCTATTTTCACTTTTATTCTTAAACTTGATTCTAATATATCATGTTATTCTTTGTCATTCCATGTGCTGGGCACATGGTGAATATTTGCTTTGGAAATAGATGTTCTTTGATTTTAAAATTTTTCCCCTAGGGAAAATAAGCCCTTCTCCTTCACTTTTCTATTTTCTTTCTGGAACACCTTTCTATCATTTTGGATATGGGATCATCTGGAGAGGTCTTCTGATTTACTCATCCTTTCTTTACTATTTTTCTAATTTTGACATTTTGTTCTATCCTTATTAATCTTCCATGCCTACTAAATTTTTAAAAATCTGCTATCGTATTTTAGTTACCAAGAATCATTTCTTATTCTTCAAAAGGTCTTCTTTTTACTACCCTTGCTCTTGTTTCATGAATACAATTTCTCTGAGAGTATCAATTATATGCGTTTTTATAGTTCTCTTCAGCTCATTACATTGCTTCTGCTACTTTGGGATTTTTTTTTTCCCCTTTGTATTACTTCTTGTCTTTCACATGTGAACTTTCCCTCAAAAGTCTGGAGATCCTTTGTTGTCTACTCATATTTAAGAATGAAGTGTGCAGGGCCTCCCTGGTGGTGCAGGGTTTAAGTATCAATGCTATCAAGCTATCACTGGCCACTGCGGCATGAGTTTGATCCCCAGCCAGGGAGATAACCCACATAGTGCAGCAGACCTCTCCTGTTTCACCTGCTGCTCCTCTCAGCAGTATATTTCAGTATCTTCACCTGTTCTGCTCCCTACTCTGTCTCTGGTGAATCCTCTCAACCCCTTACACCTCTGGCCTATACCCCAGTTCTTGTATGCATAAATTTTTTAAAGGAATGAGGTTTGTAAAAGACAACTGAGGGCCTCCCCTGGTGGTGCAGCGGTTGAGCGCTGGGCTGCGAGGCTGCCCGCAGCCTCTGCCCGCAGCCTCAGCAGTGCCGGTTCGTTCCCTGGCCACTAGCGAGGGTCCCACAAAAAAAAAAAAAAAAAAAAAGACAACTGAGCTTTCTACAAATTAATGATGACAAACCGAGAAAAAGGAGTGTTTTTCTAGATAAAAGAGAAATAAGAAAAGTGACCTTGTATAGAACCAGATTCAAACCAATAAAATAATTTTTTTAAGAATTGAGGAACTTTGCTTAAGGATTGGGAGTTGAATAATATGGAGGAACTGTTGCTAATATGAGGATAATAATACTATTGTTATCTAAGAAAATGGCACATCACACTGAAATAAGTAAACTGAAAAGAGCATGCAGTCTAGGATTTACATCTTGTTACTTCAGCAAACAAACAAGAAAAAAAAGACAAATGAAACACACATGATGAAAGCTTGGTAATTTTTAAATCTGTGTTGATTATACTACATATTATTCTATTTTTTTAAAGATTTATTTATTTTTTATTTATTTATACAAGCACTGGGTACAGTCAGAAGCGCGGGAGGGTGAGAGAATTCACCAGAGCCAGAGCGGGGAGCAGAGCAGGCAGAAGGACCGAGGTACACTGCTGAGGGGAGCAGCGGGCGGCAGGAGAGGTCTGCGCACCCTGTGGGACCCTCCTCCGGTGGCCGGGGAGCAGCCGGGGATTGAACTGGCGCTGCAGAGGCTGCGGGCAGCTTCGCAACCCAGCGCTCAACCGCTGCGCCACCAGGGAGGCCCTACTTATTATACTATTTTTCCTTTGAAACGCTAATGAATGAAACACTGAAATGCCATCTGTAAGCTTGTGTTTATGTATGTGTAGGAAATGTTAAATGGGCTTCACTGTGGGGAGGTCAAATGGGGAATCAGCTGTTTTGATAGTATCCACAGATCATTCCTTTCTATCCACTCATTCTTCCAGAGGCGATGTCCCTAATCTCCTGCCTATCTAGTATAAGCTTCCTTGCCAAAGTTCTCAGAAATAAGCAAGGGAAGTACTTGGGTCATGGCAGGTAAATGTCATTGTTACATAAGTCAACTTTCTTTTTTCTTTATTTTTTTTAAATGTATTCACCTTTTCTACTTGACTCTTATTTAGCTTTTTTTTTTTAAGATTTATTTATTTATGCATACAAGAACTGGGATATAGGCCAGAAGTGCGGGAGGGTGACAGGATTCACCATAGACAGAGCGGGGAGCAGAACAGGCAGACTGACTGAAACACACTGCTGAGGGGAGCAGTGGATGAGACAGGAGAGGTCTGCTTCGCCATGTGTGTTGCTCTCTGGCCGTCCAGGGATCGAACTCGTGCGGCAGAAGCTGCTGATTGCTTCATAGTGCGGTGCTTAACCCCTTGCCCCACCAGGGAGGCCTTACAGAAGTCAACTTTAATATAATCTCCCTGTTTTTATTTCTCTCTCTCTCTCTCTCTCTCTCTTTCTCATACGCACACACACACACACACACAGTTTATTGAAAACATAGCCTCAAGATATTGTTTTACTGTTAAAAATCTATTGAGAGCAAATTAATAATCAGAATGGGAGGTATTAAGATATTTCTCACGGAAATGTAAAGGTCACAATGACATGATAAACAAGTAAAAATATTGAGGGTTTAATAACATAATTTAAAAGCTTAATTGTGAATATAGTTGGAACCATATCTATCATTTTTTCCACAAACACATAGTATAATCACAAAAATTGACCAAATAATCACAACTGAAATTTTAACATAATCTTAAAAAGAGGAAAAAAATAATATACCCATATTCACTGCCCACTATAAAATTTCATGAAAAAGCAACCAAAAAAAGGCAGTCAAAAATATTTAAAGGGCCTCCCTGGTTGCGCAAGGAGTTATGACACAACCTATGAACCTACCCGCAGCCACTGCAGCACAAGTTCAATGCCTGGCCAGGGAGCAACCCACATGGCTCAGCAGACCTCTCCTGACTCGCCCGCTGCTCCCCTCAGCAGTGTATTTCAGTCAATCTGCCTGTTCTGCTCCCCACTTGGTCTCTGGTGAATCCTCTCACCCCTCACACCTCTGGCCTGTACCCCAGATCTTATATGCATAAATAAATAAATCTTTTTTTAAAAAAAAAGATTTATTTATTTGTTTGTTTGTTTGTTTGTTTATACAAGCACTGGGTACAGTCAGAAGCATGGAAGAGTGAGAGAATTCACCAGAGCCAAAGCAGAGAGCAGAACAAGCAGACTGACGAAGTCCACTGCTGA